ATGTACCGGCCTGATAATGAATTGCCGGAGACATACGTTTGCCAAGTAAACTTTTCACGTTTTGGTATATATTGATGTTGTAACTTACGATACTAAATGCCTGGGTACTAGCTAAAAGGCCCTGGCACGCGTTTCGCCGGTATTCTGCCGCTGCTTGACACAGCTGCGGGGGATCCGGCTCGTCAGTAGGTCCTTCAGCTTACCCTGTTTACTTTCTTGTTGATATACCGATGTATACCGCGAACAGAAATCAATTTCTAAGGAAATTAAAAAGCTAAAGTTTTTTCATGTTTTATTTGTATTAACTTTGACTATATTAATGTAAATGCAGTAGACTCTATTCCTGAGTTTATTGCGTTCAACACCATTTTTGGCGGCTGCTTGCCGATTTGTGAAAATTACAGTCAACCCCACCGGTCAGACGCGTTATTTGGAATAGCATTACATTGTTAAACAAAAGCATCATCTCCAAGCATAATCTTTACAGTTCTGCTTTATACAGCTGGACCGTGGGCTTTTACCACTCTGCGGAGTGTTTTCTTGAACGCAGCCCAGTGGACTTTTGTGTTTAACTGTGTTTAACCACATTTCTTTCTGTTTCTAGGGCAATCTGGATCCCTGCGCGCTGTATTCCCCTCTCGATGACCTTTCTTCCCGCGTTCATGAGATGATGACCGCCTTCGAGGGCAAGCCCCATATCGCCAATCTCGGCCACGGTATCTACCCCGATGTTGAACCGGAGAAGGTTGCCGCTTTTGTGGACCTCGTGCATAAATTCTCAACCAAGCCAACCTAACACACCCGCCCGGTCCACTGCATTACGCAACCACCTTTTAGGGATGATCACGGCCCTTGCTTATACATATGCTCTTTTATTCAACGTTTTTTCATTCTATTTACAATTTATTTGCTCATGAAAGACTTGCTTATTTTTCTGAGGACCGTATAACAGGTTCACTGCATTTGCACTACGACAATTTTCACCAGAGCCAAATTTAATGTAAACAAAACGACCTACTGCAATCAAGACAGTAGTGTTTTTATCATTGGGTCGCTAAATCGTTAGATAAGGTGTGGACAGTTGGGGTTCACCATTAACAGGTGATTATCCAGATATCTCTTGAACGCACTCAGTGGAGGAATGTACAGTACAAGTCGGTAAATAATTCTACAAATGACCGACTCTGCGAAAAAAGGGAGTAGCGTTAGCTGGTTTGGTGAAGTTGGTTTTTTGGCTGGCAATCCTGTCTTGCTAGATTCAAAAAATATTCCCAGTCGACATGCAAATCAAGTCCACTTACCAGCTGAAACGTTGCTATAAGGTCACCTCTTTATTGACCACAGTGAAGTGAAAGCAGTTAGGCGTTACTCTTACGTAAAGATTTCGTGAAAATCCGTTTTAGCACGTCGTTGTCGGTCGACATCCACGCTTCTTTAATCTGCCTTGACGTGGGATCGACACCTCAGCTCACAATTTCGATGGCGTCAAGGTTGAAGACGTGCCCCATCTCTGCAGCATGGGTTGATACCTCTGACTTTGGGTGCAACCTTTTTGCTGCCAGATAAGGCTCATGCATTCGCGTTTCTAGTTGCCTGCCGGTTTCTCCAACGTAGTTGCATATCCCACAACTGCACTGAAGTCGGTGGGCAACG